GAGTTGTGTAACGTATATCCATTCATTTAGTCTTATCTGTGTTCTAAACCAAAGTATTTGAAACTTAAGTGGGATGGGAAAACATTTTGAAAGCTTTTTTGGGGGAAGACAAAGTGTTAGGTAAATCGGCAGGTAAAAGAAAAACCTGAGGATTTATAATAAAACCTAAAATGCCTGACTTCTAGTATTATGTTACATGTAAGTAAAATATTATCTGAATATTAAGCAGGTAAATGCCATTAACACCAATTTATAGTTTTGTTGGCACTGTGAAGAAAATAGTTTTACACATTTTAGGAGTTTGGCATTGAGTAAAAACACACCATGGTAACTTTTCATTGGCCACTAGAGGGTGTGTGCACCATCTCCTGAAATTTATGCTACAAGTAGTGCCCACTTTAACAAAAAATACTTACGTTGAAGAGGATTTGCCCATCTTCTATAAATAGCTAATTTTCAACCCCCTTATAACAGGTACTGAATATACTATACAAAACAATGGAATTTAAAACAAATTGGTCAAGTTATTATCTGGCCTTCATTGTGTCTTGCTTTTTACTAAAATTATGAATTTGGCAGAAGAGCTTTGTCGGATGTATTTTACTTCTAATGCCCGTGCAAATTTTTAAAAAGTTTTTTTGAGGTTTTGCTAATTCAGGCTGGCCTCAAATTTGTGGTGATCCTTCTGCCTCAGCCTCCTGAGTGCTTAGGAGAGAAGTATGCACCACCATGCCCAGCTTCCATGCAGTCATTAACAGTGGTTTATCACTTGCCTGTTCTGTGCTGGGCACTTTCTGAGCTAGAAGTATAGTTACACTTGTTTGTAACTATACAAACAAGAGCGATTCTTTTGTTTCACGGAATTACTTGTGGAGCTAACAAAAAGGAAAACACTTACTGTTACTATTATTATTATTTTTTTTTTAGTAGTGCTGGGGGTAGAATCCAGAATCTTGCTCATAGTAAGCACGCTATACTCCTGAGTTACATCCCCAAATCTGCAAACAGGTAAACAAGAGTACTAGGCTGAACAGTGTCCTTTCAATATTTATGTCTGCATTAAAATTCAAAATGTGACCCAATTTCAGAATTCAGAACTAGGATCTTTGCAGATGTAATTAATTAAGGGAGATGAGGGTCACACATGTCTTTTCACCACCATGTGTGCTGGTAACCCCTTTATTGGTCGGACAAGCAAAGACAAGAGGAATGCTGAAAATTGAGCACATGTGATTGTTTACCCAAAGCTGTTTTTAAGCATCTGCTAGACTGCTAGAGACACCTCAGTGACAAGCATCAGAATGGGGATGATGGTGTACCACAGGTTTTGAAATGGGACGTCAGGTACTTAGGGTCAGGTGGCACATGTCACAGCCAGCTCATCTGGAAGGGACCTCCAAAGGCACTGAGTGCAGGGATAAAGTTGTCTGGGATGGGTCAATTCATGAGTTTATTTGCACTGAACAAACAGACCTGGAAGAGGAAAGTTTTCTATGTGCAGATGTATGTATTCCTCAAAGTTGACATTTTTCTATATTTCAGCAGTAAATGTGGAAGAAATAAAGATATATATAGCTAATTTGTGATGATTTCTGAATTAATGATACTGCTTCTGTTGGAAAGACATTAAAATCTTGGAGAGAGAAGCTGCAAAATGTTCTGCCCACAACATGACTGAGGGATTTGACAACTTTCTTTTTTTCTTTTATTTTTAAATAAAGTGGCCTTTATTTTAAGAATGCAGAGAGAGACTCCTAGACCTCCGGGGTCTGGCTTTCTGTCTCAATTTGGCAACTTTCAAATAATAATTTGCAATAGAAATTACATAACTATTTTACTTGATTTCCTCTTATGTTAAGTATTAATTTTAGTTTTATCTTCTGAGGCATAGTGCTTTCAAAATTCAGTAAGACCATTAACAGTATTAAGTCTGTTAACAATCACTTAAAATATACTTTGCCTGCTTTTTTTTTTTTTTGTCTTTTTCCTTTTTATCGGTACCAGGGATTGAACTCACGACTGCCTGCTTGCAAGGCAGGCGCTTATGCCACTGAGCTAAATCCCCAGCCCCTTTCCTGCTTATTTTTTAAATAGCTAGTATTTTACAATTTATAAACCTTTCATTATATAGTTACTAAATCTTATGTTCTTCATTTCTTTGGCAATTGAAGTGAAAATTTTGCTTATGGGTCTGTTTTGCACTGTTCAGTTGGATGAATTTCTTTATTTTTTCATCTGTTTGTTGGGGGCTTTGTTTTTTTGTTTTTTTGGTGCCAGGGAGTGAACTCACTTGCCAGGCAGGTGCTTGTGCCACATATCCCAGGCCCTGATGAATTTCTTCAGTCAAACTTACTTCCTCAGAAGACAGAGTTGTCTTAATCCAAGCTATGTAATTTGCAGCAGAGATGCATCAAAAAACCTGTACTGTAGAAATGTCCACAAAGGATAGCTGGAAGTGGTTCAGCCTTTTTCATTTTTAAAGGTTCAATTTAGATTTCTTTTGGAGATTCAGAATTTGTATTTTTTATATTCATTAATTTGTACAAATGTGTATATATGTCCACATATTTGTATATTATTGCACACACACACACTTTTTTTTTTAAATTTTTTTTTTCTTTTTTCCGGTACCGGGCATCGAATTCACGACTGCCTGCTTGCAAGGCAGATGCTTATGCCACTGAGCTAAATCCCCAGCCCCCGCACACACACTATTACATATATATTTATGGATCATGTGTCCATTTCCATGAAGCTACCTAAGACAATGCAGTGTAGTTAAAGAAAAAAATTATTTTCTAGCTAGGGAAGATTTATTAATACTTAGAATAAAGTTGGTTTTGGTGGGAGATTAGTCAAACTTAAAAGAAAGCTAAATGAGTGTTTACTTTAAATTAGTTTCTATTTTTGTTGTGTGCAATGTTAACTAAGTGACTAGAATTTTTAAAGATTTTATTTGCCTTTGTACTTGATAGGAAAGCTTATTATACCATCATAGAATGGCATGAAATCATAAGAACCTAAATACTATTAAGTCTCTTGTAGGTCAGTTGTAGGTTGTGTTGTCAAAAATGTTTTGAAAGGGGCAGGGATTTAGCTCAGTGGCACAAGAGCCTGCCTGGCAAGCGCAAGGTTGTAAATTCAATCCCTGGTTTTTCCTGATGCATGTAAGTGAAAAATGTATATACCTAAAACTATAAAAATAGATGAAAAGAATTAAAATAGATACAAATAAATGGAAAAATACATCTTGTACATGGATTGAAAGAATTTTTTTAAAATGTTTTGAAAGAGTAGACCAAAGAAAATTTTATTTTCAATAATACTTTGCGGCTGGAGATGTATAGCTCAGTGGCAGAGTATACACATGCTTAGCGTATGCAAGGCCCTCTGTTTAAATCTCAGTACTGCAAAACACAAAACTTTGTTTTTTTATTTCCTTAGTTTAAGAAATTGGTTATTCGGGGGCTGGAGATTTAGCTCAGCGGCATAAGCGCCTGCCTTGCAAGCAGGCAGTCGTGAGTTCGATCCCCGGTACCGATAAAAAGGAAAAAGACAAAAAAAAAAAAAAAATAATAATTAAAAAAAAAAAAAGAAATTGGTTATTTGTTAGATTTTTCTCAGTGTTAAAATTACACATTCCATTTCAGTTTCTTTCAGAATGAAAACCAGTTGATTTAAAGGGTGTATTGGTGTATGCCTGTAATTCCAGCACTCTAGAAGCTTAGACAGGATGATTGCTGTGAATTCAAGGCCAGGCTGGACAACACAAGACTGTGTCTCCAAAAAAAAAAAAAAAAAAAAAGTGGTTTAAATTAAAAGGATAGTGTGTTCCTCTACGGATCAGAAATTTTCTCTTACACAATGTAATGATTTAAAATTTTACCAACAAATTAAATTTCCACCTTAACTTTTGGCTGTGATTTGTCTGCTGATCAAATCAGTACCAACAGTTGCTTATTAAGAGCATCATGTTGATGGCTTTAGTGCTGGAAAGAAAGATTCTTCACAGTTACCTTGTGCTTTATAGTCTACCAGGCTTGCTGTTCAGGAGGCCCATCAATAACTGGGCTCATTTGCCAGCTTTGAAACCAATGCTTCACATCAGAGTTTGTCTAGCGTTATACATTAGTCTCAAGAACTTGGACTTAGGGGCTGGGGATTTAGTTCAGCGGCATAAGCGCCTGCCTTGCAAGCAGGCAGTTGTGAGTTCGATCCCTGGTACCGAAAAAGACAAAAAAAAAAAAAAAAAAGAACTTGGACTTGAGCTTAGGTGTTCAGACTCTAGCACTTTTTCTTTTTTTCAGGGATTTCTTTCAAAACAAGTACGATCATTACAGGACAAAACTGGACAGAGGGCTGTAGGACCTCCAGAGAGGGAAGAAAATACTTTGAGCAGGAAGATAGAATACATCTTGCAAGGGACAGTTAATTGATTTGGCACATTTAAGGGCCATTTGATGCTAAGCTTAGAGATGTTAATGAGCAGTTGAAAATGAGTGTGTGAGAGTAGAGAACAAGAGCGCAGTCATATAGAATCTGATTTCCTACAAAGTGGGAAGGTAAATTTGGAATGATTGAAAGGAAGCAAGTGGAGAAATCGCAGAGGGGTTACAAAACATTACTGCCATAACTTGCCTAAAGTAGTTATAGTAAGTGAATGCCTGAATTCTCTGGTCAAGTTTTGAGTCGGGCTTGGAGAGGTGTGCTGTCAGCAGAGTGGAAAGACTTAGGCGGGGAGAAGGAAGTTTCAGCTTTGGTACCCCTGAATTACCACTCTGCTGTCCTAGAAAGGTTGTGCCACTCCATCCCTTACTCTGGTGCTGTCTGTATGCAGAAGTTCAACCTAGCTCTCAACTTTGTTTAGATGTTAGGCTTTTTAAAAACTGAAGTGCAACAAAATGCAGGAATTGTCAAATTCTAATATCATGTCGTTCTTGTATGTTTAAAATTATTGCATGCCAACAGTGCCTCACCTAATTGTGTCCTTGTTCCCACAGCCTGGAGTACTCGGGTACTTTGAGTTCAGTGGCTTGCCCCAGCCTCCTGGCTATTTGACCTTTTTCACCTCAGCATTATATTCATTAAAGAAAGGTAAAATTGATTCATATTAAGATGGTATTTTAAGAGATATAGTTATTTTAATATCTTGCATACATTATCATTATTACATTTTCTAATTTGCTAGATTCCTTTTCTCAGTGTTTTTAGTAATTACATTGTTTAATGTGGTCATCAACATAGTATAATATTTCAAATGTATTCTCTTAAATGTTTAGTTTTTTGAAAATAATGACCATATGGCATATGCAATGATATATTTTGTACTTTAAAACTTACTATATCATAGTCTTTTAATTATGTAGTTACAAGTTTTTGCCAGTATTTTCGGTGTTTATCTAATCCTGTCAGTTGGATGTACTACAACTTGCCAGTATACTTTCTTTAAGGAATATTTTTATAAATATAAAAGTTGTAACAATTCAGCATGAGCCTACTGCCAGGTTCACTCTTCCTAAATCTATATTTCATTTACTTAGTTGAATCATATTATCATTTGGAGTCCTGCTTTTTGCATTAAATATCATATATCCTATGTATTTGTCCAAATTGCCATATATTCTCTCTTGGTCATGGGTCTAAGGCTCATTGTTTGTCTTCATTGATCTGCTCATCTGTCTTTGTCCTTTACACACCATTCTAGTCACAGCCTGACTCAGCCAGCAGACTCTGCCCTCGTGTGTCCTAGTCCTCCCTGGGAGGCTTAAGTACCTGCTGCTGTCAGCCCCAGCTTTCCTCCTCTCAAATCGCTCACTCTTCTTTCAGGTTCCAGCTCAGGTGCCACTATTACAGTTTCATACTTTGTCCTTCAACCCAATCTAAATTGGATACTCTTGTTTCTTTCATGGCACCTAATACAGTTTGCCTTTATATATGTAGCTGTAGGATAATTTAATGTCTATCTTCCACAGACTCAGATTCCCGAGGGAAGGACAATGTGTCAAGTTCAGTGTTTTTAGTATTTGTCAAGTGAGTGGTCAGAATAATAACCCAGCATCTTACCCCAGCAGACCAAAAATATGTAAGTTCTAGGGGCACTGTTAAAGGCTATAATCCCAGCTACCTAGAAGGCTGAGACAGGAAGATCAAACCTAGCCTGGTGATTGTAGCAAGACCATCTCAAAAAGGGTTGCGGGATGTCGCTCAGTGGTAGAGCACCCCTAAATTTAATCTCCAGTCTCCCATGCACACACATTCAAATACAAAGTAATCAACACATCTGCTTACTATGTATTGGATACTGAATGACTTCAGTGTATATCATGAATACATCAAACAAGAATGTGGGGGCTGGGGATTTATCTCAGCGGCATAAGGGCCTGCCTTGCAAGCAGGCAGTTGTGAGTTCGATCCCTGGTACCGATAAAAATGAAAAAGACAAAAAAAAAAAAAAAAACAAGGATGTGATGGCCATTTTAATATATACATTGTCTTAGAATTCCATGCATGGAAAATCTACTGTGTACATTTTTGTCTGGAAGGCATTTGGGAGGAAAGTAAGCTGTCATATGCATATGTCTTTTGTTCACTTGTAAGTCTGAGCTGCAGTTTCAAGTGACTAAAAAGTGAATCCAAATTTGAATTTTGTAAACAAAATATTGAGAACTTCAATAAGCTTAAAAAGTAGAATTCAGAGCTCCTTATATAAAATTAAATAAATCCCTTCAAAGAAGACCTTAATATATTATATAGAAAAGGAGAATTTAGAGTAGTCCACTGAATGATGGTCACACTCAGGCTTCTGAGCTGAAAGGGATAGTTCAAGATTTTGGGAGAATGTTTTATTTAGTTAACTTACATTGTGTGCTGCTTTGCCATGTTGGTGAAAACTAAATAACTCAACTTAAACTATGTTTTCAGTGATTTCTGAAAAACCTTTCCAAATATAAGACGTAGTACCCTTCCTTTCTGTCTTTGAGGCAGAGGTAGAATAAAAGATGGACAGATGAAATGGGGGTACAATAGAGCCCAGAGGAATAAATGGCTAAAAAATACTCAAGCCAGGCATGGTATACACTTGTAGTTCCAGCCACTCAGGAAGCTGAGGCAGGAGTTCAAGGTTAACCTGGGCAGCATCCCAAGTCTGGGTCTAAAGATTAGGGAAAGGTAGCTAGGTGGTAGAGTGTTTGCCCAAAAAACTCAAGAGTACAAAATGAACCTCCTCAGTCAAATTAGTAGTCTTGTTAAGGGATTATATGAAAGTTTTCATTGTAAGTTAAGTATGGTCTGATTTACCTTTTCTGTGGTATTCCCAGTTATGTGATTCTATAAGCTTTTTTTTTTTTTTTTTTTTTTTTTTGTCTTTTTGTTTTTTATCGGTACCAGGGATCGAACTCACAGCCACACACCTGCATGGCAGGTGCTTATGCTGCTGAGCTAAACCCCCAGCCCCCAGTTACGTGATTCTAATTGGATTTTGTCATACACTGTTGCATGAGTTAAGTTTATGGAAGCTGAAATTCAGTTTAGCTAATCTTATGCCTTCTTGAGGGGAACATTAAATTCCTATTTAAGCTTAGTGGACCATTTTTAGAAGAAAAAGACAAATTGGAAATGACAATTTCCCATATACTAGGAAGGATTACCTAAAATAAATTTGCTTGAGATGTGGGTTTCCCCTTTTTCTTTCTATTATTCTGAAGTCAGACAATAATTTTCCTTATTGTTAATAGCAGATGTGTGGTAAAAGAAACGTACAGTTTTTTCAATAGTATAGTTAAAATGTGAATTCTGAATCAATGTCCTATTTAGATTTTGTACACCAATTGAAGACTGAGAAACATTTGATATACTTTAACAGTTGCTTATGGGAAGCTGAGCTGAGGTGTTTAGATTTGGTAGTAGAAAGCATATGCCCTAGTTCAAATGCATTTCTCATTGCCTTAATGATTTTTTTCTTGTGCTAGGGATAAAACCCAGGGTGCCTTGTGCTTGCTTAGGCAAGCACTCTACCACTCAGCTATGCATGCAATTTGTCACAATGATTATTTTAAATTGTCTTTGCAAAGACACTTTTGAGTTTTACATTTGTTTCTTGAAGCTAGTTGGTCAGCAGTTTACAAACAATGGAGAGTATGCCATATATGAAACATCATGACTGGGTGCTGTGGGGTTTGCTGAGAGTTCATTCTTATCCATCAAGAGGTCAGGGTTGCGGGTTTTTGTTTTTGTTCTTTTGTCCTGTCTGTGTAGTCCTAGCTGGCCTTGAACTCACTTTGTAACCCAGGCTAGCCTTGAACTTTTAGTAATTCTCCAAACTCAGTCTCCCTAGAGATGAGATTGGAAGCATGTGCAACCATGTCTTGCTAAGTTATAAGCACTTGTTCTGTGGCAGTCTACCACTCTGTTAGGACCATTTGTCTGTTTTTGGTAATCAAACGTAATAAAGGAAGTCAAGGAGAACTCATTTTATCATCTCAGTACCATAACATGAACTGCTTTCTTTCTTTATTAACTGTTTCCTTTTGCCTCAGTTACCTGTGAATCTCTTGGACTTTTGCTGACCTGTCAGTTGATAGAGGCCCACCTGCTAGTGGGTATGGGCAGGAACCCTTTGTTATGTTTCCACCTATTATTTTCCTACCTTTTTATTTTATCATTTTTTTATAGAGAAGTTTTATATTTTCATGTAGTTCTCAGGTTGGTTGGTTGATTTTTCTGAAAATCTGATGACTAGTTTACTTCTTTTTACCACTTTATGCTACTTGGCTTTACTTAGGCTTTAAATGATGGAGGACACTGTTGTTTTTTTCCCCCTTCTCACTGGCTAATCAGCACCATTTATAAAATGATGCTTCTTTCCTTTGCATCTTAACACCTGCTTACCACAGAACACATGATTTCATCATATATTTGGGTCTGTTCTTGTGTTTTCTCTTGGTCTTGAGAATCATTTTATATGAGTTATATAATTAAATTTCTTGTTTTATAAGTTGTTACTATCTGGTAAAATGTAGGCTCCACTTCCTCTAGTTTTATATTTTGTGGAATATTCTTTTATTGTCATCCTTGCTTTTGGCTGGGTTTTGGTTCCAATTACAAATGAATAAAAGGCTTGAAGATAATTGACATGATCATAGCATTTACCTTCCTTCCCTTTCTAGAATCACTGCATGATTATTCCTTTTTTTTAAACCTTTTAATTTTTCATAGTAGAACTTACAAGTCTCTTGTTAATGTTTAATCATTTCAAACTCGGGGCTGGGGGTTTAGCTCAGTGGCATAAGCACCTGCCTGGCAAGCAGGTGGTCGTGAGTTCGATCTCTGGTACCGATAAACATGAAAAAGACAAAAAAAAAAAAAAAAAAAAAAATCATTTCAAACTGCTAGATAATTAACTGTGGACTGGCATTCTTTGTGTATGTATTTCAAAAGCCTGAAGGAAACCAGCTCTTGTGTGCTGTACTCTTCCCAGACTGCAAAGCCTATTCCTTTGAGAATTGTTTCATATTGGCAGGCAGCTTTTGTTATTCTTTTGCCTTAAGATAACTTGATAGAGGGCTTGTCCTTTTAACTGGCATGCCTGGGTTTTGTTTCTGTTTTTTAATCTTGTGGTTAAATAACATTCTATAAAAGTGTGTTCTGGTAAAATGTTACCATTCTTCTATGATTTGGCAACTTTTTGAAAGAAAAAATATATATAAAGTTGATCCTCCTTTTCACCCAACCTATAAAAGATGTACAGGGCAGGGTCTGAGGTGTGCAGTGGCTTGGAGGTTGGCAGTGTCTGCCTGTAAAGTTGGAGAAAAATATTTAACTTTTCTGACTTTGAATTTGTGTATCTGGAAATTCAGGGAGGATGAAGGTAAGAATAAATGCTTCTTTTGTGATGCCAGATCATGTGTGAAATACTTTGTTAATTGAACAATATTCTTAAAATCTGTCGTACCTTGGAACTAAACTCCTTGGGACTTGTCTCAAATGAGTATTGCTTCTGTTTTAGAAAAAGCATCTACACAAGAAAATTTGACTGACCTGTAGGCCTGTCTTGCTCATCCCTTTCTCTATGACACCTATAGTTTAGCTGGAAAGGT